TTTTGCGGTACGTGGGCCTCTCACTGTTGTGGCCTCTCCCGTTGCGGAGCACAGGCTCCAGACACGCAGGCTCAGTGGCCATGGCTCACGGGCCCAGCTGCTCCATGGCGTGTGGGATCTTCCCGGACCGGGGCACGAACCCGTGTCCCCTGCAACGGCAGGCGGACTCTCAACCACTGCGCCACCAGGGAAGCCCCTCGAGGATTACATATTTTAAACACATGATTCTGGTACACATCGGTGCTGGGGACCCACTGTACCAGGCTGGTACCACTCCCTTCTCCTCTCGCACCATCCCAGATTGGACTGTGGCCACCTGATGCTCCTATAGACTTAACCACCCCCAGGTTCTCATCGGAGGTGTGGGCATGGGCCACGTGCCAGTCCTTTGGCCTAACAGCCCTCCACTGTGACCTCTCTGAGCTCCTGTGTGCCCTTGGGTAAGTTAATCCACCTCTCTGAGCCAGGGCAGCCTCTCTATCCTCCCAGTAGCCACCCGATGGGCCCTGGCTGCTCTGCTGAGACCTCTGCCAAAGGTCACCTGCACTCGGCCACTATTCCTGAATCCTTGCACTCAGATGTTCTGCTGGGACCCCAACCCATCGGTCTCTCTCCGTCTTGGCTCTGGTACTGAAATCACCTGATTTCCTGTGTGGTTCCTCAGGACTTAAGCATCCCTGAGTGCTCTGTGCCCAGCACAGGGCTTGGCCCAGCTTGAGTGCCCTCCAATCACTAGATGAATTCGATTAAACATGCTTGAAATTTAATGGTACCTTTTCTGTGTGTTTATAGAAACTAAGCAGACTAGAAGGAATTTCAGCATGGGAGAAAACTGTCAGAGCTCTACAGAGGGAAATGGCCTTATTCCTGGGAAAGGCATTGTTACGTGGTGTCCCCCAAAGCACATTCTGCCCCAGAGAAATGCAGGTGGACATGATTTGGCGGGGGGGTGGGCAGAGCCAAGGAAGTATGCTTGCTTTTTTTTTATAGCAAGAAAAACAAAAATGGCAACGACACATAAGCATGGAGGAGATGAATTCAGGCTCATAGGGACAGACAGAGAAAAAGAGACTGAAAAAAGAAAATGATACCCTGATACAAAGACAGACGAAGACACTATAAGAAAACTACAGACTGATATCCCTTATGAACACTGATGCAAAAGTCCTCAAGAAAATACTAGCAGGGTCTTCCCAGGTGGTGCAGTGGTTAAGAACCTCCCTGCCAATGTAGGGGACACAGGTTCGTTCCCTGGTCCAGGAAGATCCTACATGCCTCGGAGCAACTAAGCCTGCTAGCCACAACTACTGAGCCCACGTGCCACAACTACTGAGCCCGTGTCCTGCAATTACTGAAGCCCGCATGCCTAGAGCCCATGCTCCGCAACAAGAGAAGCCACTGCAATGAGATGCCCGCGCACCGCAACGAAGAGTAGCCCCCGCTCGCCCCAACTAGAGAAAACCTGTGCACAGCAGTGAAGACCCAACACGGCCAAAAAAAACCTGAAAAACAAAAACCAGCAAACCAAATTCAGCAGCCTATTGGAAGGATTATACACTGTAACCAAATGGGATGTATGCCTGTAACACAAGGATGGTAAATTTTTTTAAAAATAAATTTATTTATTTATTTTTGGCTGCATTGGGTCTTCGTTGCTGCACGTGGGCTTTCTCTAGTTGCGGCGAGTGGGGGCTACTCTTCGTTGCAGAGCGCGGGCTTCTCACTGTGGTGGCTTCTCTTGCTGCAGAGCACAGGCTCTAGGCGCGCAGGCTCAGTAGTTGTGACCCATGGGCTTAGTTGCTCCATAGCATGTGGGATCTTCCTGGACTAGGGCTCGAACCCATGTCCCCTGAATTGGCAGGAGGATTCTTAACCACTGCACCACCAGGGAAGTCCCAAGGATGGTAAATTTTATGTTAGGTGTATTTTACTCAATAATATCGGGAGAAAGAAAGAGAATGAAAGGAAAGAGAGAGAGAATTAAGAGAGACACAGTGGAAAAGACAGAGTGATACCAAGGAGGAAAGAGACAGAGATGGAGAGAAAACGAGAGAGAAAGACACAGGGATGGAAAGGGAATGTGGTGAGAAAGAGAAGGAGTGGCAGGCACCAAACAAGACAGAAAAAAAAGAAAGAGAGGAGATGAAAGTGAAAAAAAAAAAAGAACTTGGAAAAAACCAAAGGCAGAGGGAAGGCTGTTCTTGGGGGAGGGAGGGGCACGTACTACTGAACGAGGATTTTCACCAGGTTGATGTGGCCGCAGGTGGCCGCGGCATGCAGGGGCGTCCACAGCTCGTTGTCCTTGGCGTTCACGTTGGCACCGTGGGAAAGGAGCAACTTGACAATTTCCTCAAAGTTGTCAATGCAGCACTGCAAGGTGGACACAGGCAGGGTCAGCTCCTGGCAGGGCCCTGGGTCGTGACGAGGGCACACCAAGTTCCCCCTCGAGAGGCCACAAGAAGGACAGCAGAGCCAAGCTGCCTGAGTTTGAATCCAGCTCCATTACGTACATGCTGTGTGATTTTGGGCAAGCCACTTAACCTTTCTGAGTCTGTTTCCTTGTGAGTAAGTTAATAATGTACGAGATAAAAATATAAAGACAGTCTAAAAATAAAGTCGTCTATAAGGTGTTTTGCAAATGTTGGTGGAATGGGATGAAATTTGGAATGAGGCTTTAAAACCTTTTCTTTTTAATTTCAGAAGGCTTCCTTCCAACAAAACTGTATGGAGAACTCTAACTTAGATAACCAATCGATTCAAGCAGGGCTGCTCGGGCTGAAACAGGGGCATGTGTTGGTTGGGTGGGGATGGGGGTGATGGGGGAGACCCCCCCCCCTTGACAGCAGTGACCTCCTAGATCACAGTTTGGAACCTCTGACTTAGGAATTTATGACCCAGAAGCTAGTTCTTGGGGAAGTCCCAAGTAACCAAGCCTCGCCCCCGAAAACCAAGCTCTGTGTGAGGCTCTAAAGGGTCCTAATACAGTCCCTGAGAGGAGACAGCCATGTCTGTGCTTCTGCTTGTCCACACGTGGGGCAGCCCCCAGAGAGATGCAGGGCTCCAACAGCCACTGGAGCTCCCAGACTCCAGGGACGGAGGGTGAAAGATTCCAAGCGGACAGAGGGGCCTCACGCCAGGGCCATGAGCAGCGAAAAGTGAGGACAGAGGAAATAGAAGACAGGAAACCACTTTACAGACTACAGGATGCATCCCAGGTGACCTCTGGAGAAGCCAGCAGGGGACAAAGTGCTCGGCACTGCCCATCCGGGGAAGCGCTTACCCCTCGGTGCAATGGGAGATGTTGCAGAGTTATACTCGGAGGAGCAGAACAGCAAGCTTGCTTTTTAAAAAATCCCTCCTCTGGCTGCATGTGGGGAAGAGACTGCGATCACAAGCTTTGCAGGGGAGAAGGGGCATGGTGAGCAGCTACGCCAAAATCACCCACGTAAGGGATGATGGTGTCCAGCCTAGAGAAGCGACCGTAGGCCTGTGGAGAGGTGACTGGATGCCAAAAGAAGGAGCAGGGGCACCTGTGGCAGCCCACAGCCCCAGGTGGGTGTGGGGTTGGGGATGGAGATGGGGTGGCACCACGGCCTCCACCCCATTCTCAGCAGAACCAGGGGCCAGTGCCAGAGGGACAGATGGGAAAGAAGCGGCCATTTGCACAGATGGTGCCAGGGACCCAGGTTCTCTTTCTGCACCAGCCGATCTGGGGTTGGCTGGCTCTGGGGGCACCTCTCCGGACAGCAGGGGCATGTGTGACCCAGTGGAGCTGGGTGCTGCCTCAGGTAGTAGGGAGAACCATGCAGTGACACAGCGACGCCGGCAGAGGGCACCAAAGGCACCAGAGTGTGGCGTCGGGGGAAGGCGTGGGTCCCCAGGCTGTCACCGGGAGATGGGTTTGGGATGGCCCGGTCCATAGGAGGAGAAGCAGCCCAGCCCCTGGGATCGGGGGACAGGAGGGCCAGAGATCCCACCCTGAGGGCTGCAGAAAACATGAGGATGGGTGGGGCGGTGGGCGGCAGGGGGATTATGCATCCAGAATTGCAGTCGTGTGAGAAGGATGCCCATGGGCTGGGCCAGTCTGCACACGAGCAAGGGCTGTGTTGGGACCTGGATGCAGGAGTGCAATGGGGGCTGGTACGTGATGGAGTGGGCCAGCCTCCTCTCCTGCATTCCCCAAGGTGGGCAATGACACCTGGCATTGGATGACTCCTCCCACCCCGTCACTTCCCACATCCAATCTATCACCAGGTGTGGATTCCATCTCCTGCATCGCTGTCCCCATCCCCACTGCCTTGGCTGAGGCTTCATCATCTCTCTCTGCCTCCCTGTCACTCTCCTTCCACACACCTCAGCCAGAGAGAGCTTCTTTGTTAATCCAGCCACGTTGCTCTCAGTTTACAAACCTCTGAAAGGCTCCCTGTTGCCAAGAGCAGAAAACCCACAGAAAGCTCTGCTTTCTGTGCTCCTTCTTTGTATTGGAGCAGTAGTGACAATAATGATGACACCTATAACAACAGCCCCAGCAAGAGCAGTAATGATATGTCACATTGTGGATAATAAGAGCTAATGCTTTTTGAGGAGTTACTAGGGCCACGCATCTTGCTAGCCACGCATTGCCTCATTTGATCCTCAGAACAACACTTCCAGGGCTCCATAGCCATGTGGGGCTAGAGGCTACTGTACCGGACAGTGTCGTTACACAGAACATTCCATCACCATAAAGGTTCTATTGGACAGTGCTGCCCTGAACTCAGTTTCCTGAGCTGTAAAATGGGGATAATAATATTTCAAAGAGTTGCTGTGATGATCAAACCACACTTCACATAAGTGAAGTGGCTTTGCCAAGAAGTGAACATGTGACAAATTTTAATAATAATAATAACTAATATTTACCCAGTGTCAAGTGATGCTTATAGGGTTTTTATGTGTATTTATTTAATCCTCACAACAACAAAACGAGATGGATACTTCCTCATCTCTTTTACAGATGAGGAAAGTGAGGCACAGAGAGCTTAAATAACTTGCCCAAGGTCACACAGCTAGAATTTGTGGATGCATGAAGCCCTGCGGGACAAGAAGAGAAGCCAAGAGGACACATGGGGAGCCCCTGGGCTGATGGCTGAGGGTGGAGACTTGTCCCCAGGGCTCATGGGTAGGGGGATGGCCAGTCTCTGCCCACCTTTCCTGCCCTCAGAGGGAGATGGAGAGGCTCTCCCCAGCCCAGGGTTCCAGTAGCCTGGCCTCCCACCCGCCAGGCTGCATTCAAGTCCACCTGATCAAAAACTTGGTCCAGAGCACAGGGGGGCTCAGCGTGCCCACTCGTTAACTCAGCACATACATATTGAGCAACTACTGTATGCCAGCATGGGAAGTAAGAGTGGGATACACCGATGAGAAAGAGACATGGGCTCTGCTCTTGTGCCGCGCAGAGTCTGGGTAACGGGAGACCAGCATTAAATTGTCACACTAATGGATAAAATGACAAAGGGATGCTCAGAAGAAAGGATACGGATATAACAGCAGAGCTCTCAGGCTCTTGCTGTGCACGCACCTGAGCGCTGGGTGAAGTGCGACGGGGGCAGTACCGTGTGTGCAAGGGACAGAAAAGTCAAGTGGCTGGAGGCCAGGCAGCCTGAAAACATGGTGGGCTCAGCAGGGGCACAGGGGAGTTCCTTACCCCCAGTGTTACGGAAAGACACCAGAGCACTTTGAGTAGCATCAGCAAATGTTGGATCTGAGCATCCCTGCAGCCACCGCTTGGAGGATGAATCAGGGGCAGCGCTGCCTGAATGCTGGGGACTAGTTAGGGGGCTGTTGCAGCATCCAGGTGACAAATGACAGCCAGAGCAGCCCCTCCCCAGCCAAAGGGGCCTGGGCCCATCTCGCTGCCCTAAAAAGGATGTGTGTTTTGATAGCACATGATTCCTGGCCAGAGTTCATGGCTGTGTGACCTTAGGAAGGTCACATAAGCTGCCTGTCGATCACTTTTGTCACGGGGGTGGATGGATGCCTTGGTGGGTGTGAACAAATGTGCTTCGTAAACTGTCAAGCTCCAGACAAACTTGCTTTGTTTGTCAAACCCTTTGCCAGGCAGTGAGGACGCAGCGTACAAAGGCTCCCTGTCCGCGGAGGCTGTGTGTGTGCCGTGCATGTGGGCACGGGGCTCTGTGGGCGTGTCTGTAACAGACACACTCGTCTCCAAAGCAGACAAGAGCCTTTCAGATGTGGTAGCTGCGGCTCCCCTCCCGCTCCTCCCTGAGGGCTCTGGGCAGGAAAAAACAGGGAGATGGGGTACCTGTCCAGGTGGAGAGCAGGGAACCAGGGGCCCCAGCGGGTCCTTACCTGGTGCAGGGCTGTGAGTCCATCCTCGTTGCACAAATCAGGGCTGACCTTATTCTTCAGGAAGTAACGCACTGCAACAGAGGGGACAGGAGTGACTTTCCTGCCACACTTCAGGTGTGCAGGGATGCGGGGGACCCAGGTAAGACCCGCTGTCCCCCTGGTTCTGACACAAACAGTCTTGTTTACTTCTTACAACAGGGGTGAGAGGTAAGTGTAAAAACCTCCCCATTTCACAGATGAGGAAACTGAGGCACAGAACACAGATCTCTTGTCCAGGATTTCCAAGAGGTGGAGAGCGCTGCCTGTCTTACTCTGCATAATAATGACAGGAGCTAATGGTTATTGAGCACTTCCTGTGCGCCAGGCACAGAGCTAAGCGATTTACATTTGTTGTCTAGAGGGAGAACATTCTAGTCACTGAAAGCATACACTCTGGTGTCCAATGGCTTGGGTTCAAATGTAAGTGCTGTTTTTATTGGCTGTGCAACCTCAGTCAAAACACTTCCCTCTGCGGCTTCCCTGGTGGTGCAGTGGTTGAGAATCCGCCTGCCAATGCAGGGCACACGGGTTCAAGCCCTGGTCTGGGAAGATCCCATATGCCGCGGAGCAACTAAGCCCGTGTGCCACAACTACTGAGCCTGCGCTCTAGAGCCCACGAGACACAGCTACTGAGCCTGTGTGCAACTACTGAAGCCCGTAGAGCTCGTGCTCTGCAACAAGAGAAGCCACTGCAATGAGAAGCCCGTGCACTGCAATGAAGAGTAGCTCCCGCTCGCCGCAACTAGAGAACGCCCATGCGGAGCAACGAAGACCCAGTGCAGCCAAAATAAATAAATTAACAAAAATAAATTTATTTAAAAAAAAAAAGACACTTCCCTCTCTGTGCCTCAGTTTTCTATTCTATAAAATGGGGATGATGTTAATCCCACCTCACCAGGACATCATGTGGAATAACTGAGGTGAGCTGTGGCAGGGTCTCAGCACAGTGTCTGGCACATGGTTTGAACGTCAGCACTTGTTATGGAGGTTGTTATTTTTATTAACACTGCAGGTCCCTGCACCCGTAAGTGCCAGATGTCCCTGCTTTGGCCCTACTGAGCCTTGAGGCTTTAAAGCAGAGGCTTTAACTGCCCTCCATCCTGAGACCTTTGTCTACTGTGTGTGTGTGTGTCTGTGTGTGTGTGTGTGTGTTTTCAGGGATGGGGGGGGGAGCTGGGGCGTGGGAGGGCAAAGTGAACTCTAGCCACAGACCCCAATCCCTCTTGCTTAGGACCACTCCCTCCCCTTTTCCAAGGGGACTCTCCCTCCTCCATCCTCCCCAACCCATTCAAGCCCTAGTTCCCATCCTGGACCCAAGGGCAAAGGTAAAGAGGGAGGGTCAGCGCACACATACTGGTAGTACATCATCATATCAATATATTCAAGTCCACCTGCTCAGAAACTTGGGCCAGAGCACAGGGAGTCTTCAGTGCGTTCATTCATTAAGTCAGTACACACATATTAAGCACCTACTGTATGCCAGCATGCGGAATGATGCTGGGATACACCAACGAGCAAGGGACACGGGCTCTGCCCTCGTGTAGCTCAGAGTCTGGGTAGCAGGAGACTGACATCAAACGAGCGAACCCACTAGCCCTGCAGGCCCCTTCCAGCCACCAGCAGGAGCCCCTGCCATGGCCTCCAAGCTTTAGGATACCCATCTCTGGCCAGCCTCCAGCTGCACAGCTCCCATGGGGTGAGGAGCCCATGGGGCCAATGGGATGAGTCCACTGAAGCCCATGGTTCCTCTTCTGGCCCATCTTACCCTTCCCTGTTCAAATGGCTCCAAGCCCGAAGGTAGGGCCTGCACAGGTCTCTTCCCCAGACCCACCTTCCCAAGCGTGGACCATGCAGTGGGAAAATACACCTCTAGGCTGAAGGGGTGACCAAGGGGTGGCCGTTTGCAGAGCAAATGGAGGAACTTGACTACACAAGCTGGCTTGTGTGTGAGGCCCTCATGATGTCAGGGATTGAGGCCTGGGTCCTGCAAATGGGAAAAGCAGGCTGGGCCTGGCCCCTCTGAGCCCCCTCCTACTCCCACCCAGTTTGGCTTCCTCAAAGCACGAGCCAAACTGCACAGCCCCTGATGCCCGCTGGGGGTGCTATCTCCACACTACAGCCCACCACCCACGCGATGGGGCAGGGACGCAGTGGTTTCCTCCTAGATTTGCCTCTGCTGTGGAGGAACAAACTCGAGTGACCTGTGAAGGGCGGAGGGAAGGCCATCCGTTCTGCAGGCTGAATACCTGCTCGGCACCCCCAGCGGGTGCTGGGGAAGAAGATGAGGTCTCTGGAGCAGCGGGGATGGGGGCCGTCTTTCATTAGTCCCAGACCCGAAGCCCCAGTGGCACCCTTGGCCTGAGTGTGAACAGAGGCCCCTGTGAAGGGGAGGTTGAGGCCTCCACCCGGCGTCCTGGCAAGAGGTGACATCTCCGTCAGACTTGCCCTAGATGCTTTCATTGCTGCTGGGGGTCAGAGTGACAGGAGTTTATACCAGATACAGTCGGGTCCTCTGGAACCACTAGCCACATCTAGCTCATATGGCTTTCAAGCGTTAACTCATAAAAATTCAAAATTCACTTCCTCAGTCGCTCTGGCCACATTTCAAGTGGTCAACAGACACAGGTGGCTACAGACACAGGTGCTACCATATTAGAAAGTGCAGAAATAGAACATTTCCATCTTCACGGAAATTTCTATTGGACAGTGCTGCTTTGGGGCATTATACGTGGAAATTAGCCCCATCACCAAGAGCTAAAACCCTTCTGTGGCTCTCCATTGCTGTGGGAACAACGTCCAAAACTCTTACTAAGGCATAGAAGGTCTGCACGATGTGTTCCCTGCCTGCAGGCCTCCATCTTGCACAATTCCAGGGGGAGCCATTCACACTGTGGTCTGAGACTGGCACCCCCCAGCCCAGGGCAGAGCAGTGCACAGCTTGCTCAGCTGTACACAGGACTCCTAACCTACCTACTTCTCCAGTCTCACTTCTTAAACTCCAAACACCTTCCACAACGGTCTCTTGTCAGCTACGGAGTCACCATACTTGCTTTGGCCTCTGAGTTTTGCGTAGCCTGTTCCCATTGCCTAGAAGACGCAATCATCCATCCGCCCATCCACCCATCCATCCACCCATCCACCCTCATCCATGCATCCATCCATTCACCCACCCATTCCCCATCCATGCATCCACCCTCATCCATGCATCCATACATCCATCCACCCATCCCCTATCCATCCATCCACCCTCATCCATGCATCCATACATCCATCCACCCATCCCCCATACATCCATCCACCCACATCCATGCATCCATCTCTAATACACACACACACACACACACACACACACACACACACACACACACACACACACGTCTCACTCCTCATCCTGTACATCTCACCTCAAACTCTCCAGGCGAAGGCACTCCCCCTGGTCTGCATGCCCTGAGCTTTTACACCTCTCACATATAGCCTTATCACAACCATAATTACGTAACAATTTGAGTAATTATGGTAGATGTTGGGTCTGCCTCTGTAGGGCAGGACAGTGACCTGGCACTTACTGCTCTTTGCTTAAGGCCTGGCACGTGGCAAATCCTCAGCAACCTTTCCAGGACCCTGACCTAATTGGCAGACCCTTAGCTCAGTTCAAGTACACAGCTTCTCCATCTCCGAGCACAGCAGACCACCCTGTAGTGCTGACCCATATGGCTCGCATCTGGAGTATGCAGTGCTGCTGGCAGGGTCCTCCTACCAGGGTGGATGGTAGCTGTTCTCAGCCTCAAGGCCATGTTTGAAGACTGTGGCAAAGCCACCGATCACTGTGGCCCAGCCTGTCCATGGGCTGGTGGGGTTGTCCTGGGCCTGACAGCTGGCCTGTGGGAGAGTAGAAGTGACCATGATGTCCCTGTGCAGGATGGGTTTCTGGAAGGTTCTCCTTTGGGGGTGGGTGGTAGACCAGGCTTCCGGTCCAGGAGACACTCTTTGAGGCAAAAATTGAGCATCAGATGCCAAAAGCAGCCTTTGTGTACAGTAATTATTGGGGTGTTCGTGTGGCACGGGAGCCTAAGACATGTAATTACTCCAATGCTGGGCAGTTATTTTCAGCCCAAGAGGTGGGACAAGTCATCCTCGTCTCTAAGGAGCTGTCGACAGTCATGAGCCAAGGCCCGCTCCGTGGTTCTACTAACGCTTTAGCTGGGAGCCTGGCTCTGGACACAACTCATCGGAGCAAAGACCCCACCACCCAGGGCCTGGCCAGGTTTTCCTGCCTCTGGGGTTCAGCAAGAAAAATGATTCTTCTATCTACAGTGTGTTCTTACTGGACGCCTCCTATGCACCCAGGTCCATGCAAAACCACTTTCTTTCATGGGTTCATGCCTAATTATTCCTCTTATGGAGAACAGGAGACAGAGGGTGAGGGAAGTGCAGCTCACAGCCACGTGCAACCGAGTGGAGGAAATCAGACCCTCTGATTTCTAAGCCCAGGCTCTTAGCCACAAGGCTGCTCTGTTCTGCCCCTGAGGCCAGGAATGCGAACCAGCATTGCTGGAGTAACCAGAGCTGGGCTGAGAGGCTGGCATGGGGAGGAGGGGGAAAGGAGAGTGGACAGAGTGACCTCTGCCCTGCAAGCATCAGAGGCCCTCGAGTCCCAGGCCAAGCATCTTCTTGCAGACAGAAGGGCTCAGGGATCCACAACCAGGACAGAAGAAACATGGCAGCCCCGGGGTCATGGTCAGACATCTCAGGGGCCAAATTAAACACAAAGTTGCCTTCTCTCATTCCCTCCTTAAAACCCTCTGGTGGGGCCTTCCCTGGTGGTGCAGTGGTTGAGAGTCCGCCTGCCAATGCAAGGGACACGGGTTCGTGCCCCGGTCCGGGAAGATCCCACATGCTGCAGAGCGGCTGGGCCCGTGAGCCATGGCCGCTGAGCCTGCACGTCCGGAGCCTGTGCTCTGCAACGGGAGAAGCCACAACAGCGAGAGGCCCACGTACCGCAAAAAAAAAAAAAAAAGCCCTCTGGTGATTC